CGCCATCGCCTCCAACCCCGTCACCAGCGATCTGAACCTCTACAAGGAGGGCTCCGGTCCCATCACCCAGGCCGCTCAGCGTATGCACCTCTGGACCTCCGCCGAGGGCTCCGACGGCCGCACCCGTTACCTACAGGGTACTGCCAGCGCCATGCAGAACGGCATCATCACCGTCCGCACGTTCCTGACTCACGGCACCTCCACCCTCGGCGAGCTCGGCATCACCGCCTCCGGCAACACCGTCCTCAACACCAAGCCCTGGTTGATCGACGCCGCTGATAAGAAGGCCATGTCCGACTTTGTCCAGTACTGGCTCGACCTCACCAGCGGCAGCAACTCCACCCTCAGCTACGTCACCCCCGGTGCCACTCCCGACGACATCATCAGCACCAAGATGATCTCTGGTGACCACTGGGTCGGTAGCGCCAAGATGGGCACCGACGATGGCCGCAAGGCGGACGGTACCGCCGTCGTCGACCTCGACACCAAGGTCTACGGCACCGACAACCTCTTCGTCGTCGACGCCTCCATCCACCCTGACTTGCCCACCGGTAACACCCAATCCATCATCATGATCACCGCCGAGCACGCCGCCGAGAAGATTGCCGCCGTCACCGTCACCGGGTCTTCGAACTCTACTGCCCCCGAGACTAGCAAGTGTAACGGTGTCACCAAGCGCGCCCAGCGCCAGGCCATGCGCTTCAGACGCCATGCTCACCTGCACTAGATGATCGAGCCCTCAAGTGCTGAGTGGATGTGATCATGGCAGGTACCGGCTACAGGTGACGATGAACTCCTGAGCCACTTCAACGTACATGTTTCGTTCTAGATTATCTTATGTATAAAAATTCTTTCCGTAAATAAATCACTTCAGGCTATTGAATGGTCTCTGGTTCAAGCATGCTATAGCTGTGACGGTTGTTCTTATATGTACCCACTGAATGTCCCATCAGCATGGTTGAACTACCCAATCCTGAGTCAACTCATTCTACAAGAGTTCAAGTTCAGTCTTTGTGATGTTTGTATGATTTTCAAACGCTACAACCTGCAAGATGGCATCAACGGCCCAAGAGGCTCAATAACTTTAAAGCTGTGGCGTCACCAGAAGGTAATTCTCAAGCATGATACAGCTTCATCGAAGGGATGCTCCTGGTCTCGTCATCTTCTCATCAGATATTGCAACAAAGCGCAACGTATCACACGAGACCTTCCAGCGAATTGTGCAAATATTGGTGAAACATTATCATTAGAATTATGAAAAGAATCCTCCGACGCTAGTCTATGCTGTCATCAATCATGTCATAGACCCTTGTCCGCCTGATCACTTCTTAGCATCTGCGATGATGCGCTCAGCTGCGATCTCTGCGATACCATAGACGGCAGTTTGCACATGCGCAGAGATAAGCAGAGGAATGACACTAGCATCGACGACGCGCAGATTGGAGGTGCCGTACACCTTCAGGTCGCTGTCAACAACACCGCCATCCTCCTTGGGGAGCATGGAACAGGTCCCGACGGGGTGGAAGATGCTCAACGTCGTGTTGAGAGCAAACTGTTTCCACTGCTCGTCGGTCTGGACAGCATCCAATCCAGGTTCGTACTCGTTCTCCCAGATAGATCTCATTGGTTCGGTGTTTGCGATCTTGCGGCAGTACTTGATGGCCTGGATCGCTGCTTCCAGATCATGTTCGTGTGCAAAGTAGTTCGGGTTGATGACAGGCTTTCCGGTGGTGTTGGCGGGGTTGATGTGAATATCGCCCCGGCTCAAGGGGTGCATGATCGCGGCGATGAGGGTGAAGAACCCTTCGCCAAAGAGAGGAGATGTTGACGCGGGGTACCCCTTGACGCCGGTGTAGCCATCCGAGAAGATGACCTCGAGCTGGGGGATGGAAGGATCGGTCATAAACTCTAGCTTTTTCTTATCAACGACACTGGGGTCTTCGCCGGCGGCTTCCTTGGCGAGGGTTACCAGGCGCGAGTCGTTGCCGATGGCTTGCGACCAGGTCGTGAAGGTGTAGCCGCTGCCGGTGTAGTCGTAAAGCGAGACTTGTCCGGCGTTCCAGAGAGCCAGCTGCTCCGCGGCGTAGGTGGCATTGCTGCGGAGAATGTCAAAGGAGGTGTAATTGTCCTTGAGCTGGTAGGAACTTTGAATTCGAAGATGATCTTGAAGGTTCTCGCCAACGCCAGGAAGTTCAATGAATTGTTCGATACCGGAGGCGTTGAGAACGGAGGACTGGCCAATGCCTGACAACTCCAGCAAGCCTGGGCTTTGGATGGAGCCAGCAGATAGGATAACCTCCTTCTGGGCTAAGACGATGGTTCCGTCTGAAAGGGTGACTCCTGTGGCCGTCTGAAGAGTCGAGTCACCCGTTGCCTTTCCGAGATTGACTTTGAGGACCGTGGTATCAGAAAGGATTTCCAAGTTCGAGCTGGCAATGGGAACGTAGGCGTTGGCGCTGTAAGACCTATTGTAGTGAGTCGGATCAATGCTGCTGGGCTGATACATCACTCCGAGAGGGTCTCCGCCGAGTGACTCCAAGTTGCTCTCAATGCCGAGGGCATTCATCGTCGGGATCCACGTCTTCTGATGCTCGGGGATGATGCGGTTGATGACAGCCTTAACCGGGCCGCTCTCGCCGACACCCTCGGACCCGTACGTATCGGTATTAATGCCAGTAAAATTCTCCGACTTCTTCATGGCGGCAATCATCGTCTCCCAATTCCATCCCGGGTTGCCGAGAGCCTCCCAGCTGTCATACTCGGCCACCGCAGCCCTATCGTACGACATGAGGTTGAGGGCGGAGCTGCCGCCGAGGACCTTGCCTCGGTTGACCGTGAAAGTTCGGCTATTGACATTGGACTGCGGCACGGTGGTGAAGTTCCAGTCGTACTTTGTGGCCAGCGTCGAGCCCTTCATGCCGGGGACGTTGATTTTAGGCTCATCCCACACCGCGGGTCCCGCCTCAATGAGGAGAATCTTGCAGGCAGGGAGTCCCTCGCTGATACGAGCCGCCACGGCTACTCCAGCAGTGCCACCGCCGACGACGATCTGAGAGGGGAAAAGACGAAGTGTTAGTGTATCAGGTAATCAAACCTCCCCCGGGCCGCGTCAAACGCAAAATACTAAAGAGGGCACAAGCGAATACGTCCGACAGAGAGACCCCGTAAATGAAGCAACGCAAACGTCCGAGAGCAGAGCTGGGCACAACTTACATAATCGTAGGCATCCTCATAGGGCTGTGACGAGGAGGAGGAAGTGGCACCCGAAACAAGGGCCGCGAAGGCGAGAGCGAGACTCGACTTGACAAGCATGGCTAAGACGATGCAGCGATCTTTTTCCACGCGCTCGAGAAAATAAAGTTTAGGAACCTTCGGCTCGGCGATCTGAGAAACGCGCTTCTCCAAGTTCTGCCAGAGCCTAGATCAAAAGAGAAGCAAACGCTCGAGCTTTCAAATACAATAAGCGTGATATCTGCACATCAAGTCTAGGTTCGGGAAACCTCGTCAATGGTACCAAACGACACGAAGTGGAGGGCGTGCTGTGGCGTGCCATGTTCCAGGCGTGCCATGTTCCATGCGGCAGCAGGATCGTGTCTCTTTTTGTATGCAGCCCCCAAAATTGCCTCAAGTGAAAGTCGAATGTCAATAATGCGGTTATTAATCCCCTTACAAGCTTCTTTAGCAAGTTAGCAGGGCTTCTTATCCATAGTCCAAGAAAACGGCGCCAGTAATCATACACGCGGCCCAAAGAAATATCCTTGTTCTCCGCCCCAGGTCGCCCGTCCTTCAAGGTCTGGAGGGACGGGAACATGATGGTAGCTTAGTGGGGTGCCGAGAATCCTAATATGCTATAGACTATTCGTAGGTACCGCTGAAGAAGTCCCGGGAGAGGAGGAAATGGTGGCGGTATGTTGTGGTGGTGTCACACGGCAGCGTAAGCACTTATAAATGCGCGTGTAAGCTACCAGCGCGCCGGTCCAACAACACGACTTGTTGGACAATTGCCAAACTATCTACCCCAACCTTGAAGAGAGGGGAAAAGGAATGGATGACGAGGGAATGTCAGACACTTATGCAGGTTCGGTTGCGTTCTGCTCTACCAGAGACGAACGGCACAGCAAATTCCCCCTACTACGCCGCGAAGCAACATCAACCGTCCCACGGTTCAACGTGTTCGCCGACGGGGATGGCTGTGTACCCGGGCAAATGTTACCGTGCCATCAACGTGCCTATCCGGCGAAGCACCGTTGACAATTGCGGAGCTGCGCCGGCCGGTCGCTTCCAGGGTTAGGTTCACGACTCAAGGATAGGCCTGTCAGACCCATTTGGACAAGTCGACGTGACCCTGTCTGAACGAATCATCCGTCTCGGTCAGTTATGAACAATTCCATAATAACTCTACGTCTATCGAGGCATCGACGGGTTAACAACTGCGTTTCCCGGCTCTTCCCCGTCTCCCCGTTTCTCTCTCTCTCGGGTTTCCCCTCGGGGGCTCAACGGTTTGGAACCTCTTCGGTATCTTTGTTTAGAAAGCTCGTCCCTCGCCGCGCAGCCTGCTGACGGAGTGCCCAGGATACCCCTGACATTTGTACCAATACCCTCCATTAATTAAACTCGGGCACCACCCTTTCGCACGACCGAAACCCTCGCCAGCGTCCGCCCCTCGTTTCTCGAGCAGGAAGAGCAGAAAAGCTGCCGCGCGCCGCTCGGCTACCCGTTATGCTTTCTGGTCTGTGTCCGAATCTGTCTCATGGCCTCCAACTACATGTCTTGTGTGCATTGAGACGTCAAGAGATAAGGAGGAGAAAGATAGGATGGGAAAGTCAAAAATTGAAAGTAAGAAGACGATCGTCATCAACTTACTCCATTTGCTCAACTCTGCTGCGGGTGTTTGCTTGGTAAACCATTGGCAAGAAGAGCCCACACAAGTCTGTGTACGTAAATCATATGTACCCCTTGGGAGACCTGCGGCACATTGCGCAACATCCCACAGCCGCAGCATGAGAAAAATCCACACATGCCCAGGGTCTACTTTGATCCCTCCTTCGGGCGCGCGGCGTGCCCTCGTCAACAACCAAGAGAGATATGCAGGGGAATGGAGGCCGCTCAAACTCAATTTGTATCCAAGCAACGAGACAGGAGCTCGCAGAAGCTGGGCAGGAATCGAAGAAGGAGAAAAGAGGAGAGGATGCTCGTCCAACCTGGCCTTCCACAATACGAGACTCCCAGTCATTCCCGGCCAAGACCCTTCTTCTTTTGGGGAAGGGGTCCCCGTCTTTGCCATGCAGGACACAGCGATCCCTCGAATGGACGTAGTTGAGAGAATCAGGTCTCAGACATTTGCGTTTAGCTCCCATCCTTTGGCATGCAGCCTCTCTGCTCGGGGCAACGAAATAAACTACCAACTGCCTATTATCCGTATCTTGGAAGAATCGAACCAAAGGCTGGGTAATCTTGCATCCTACCAAACCAACACAACACCACCTCGGCGTCGTCGGCGTCCAAGGCATCAAATCATTACCATTTACCACCCTCCTCCCGACACAACCGCGGGATGGGTAGATTGGGTCTCGCCCATCTGAGACATATGCGCCGTGGTGCCTTGACCTCCTTGCATCTCATATGTCCTCCATCCGCGCATGCAGGGCTGGCTACTGCGGAATTGCATGTAGCTTGTTCTCCTCCTCCTCCTTCCCAGCTTCGTCGCAGCTCTTAAGACGACCAACGTTCCCTTTTCCCCCCTCAAGGGCGCACGTCGAGTGGGACGTTTAAAAGTCCGGGGGTAAACGAGCTGCCATCCAAAAGCAGATCTTGGCGATCGTCCTCGTCTTTGCCTTGTGCAGAGACTATCCCGTGGGTCGATTACCCGCTGGCCGTCTTATTCTCTTCCACACATTTATCCAGCCCATGGCCTAGTATTTCCTGGTGTGCTGCACCCTCGTTCCTTGTCCTGGCGTCTTCTTCCACGCTATCCAGGCTTGAGTCCACTAGACTCCTACGTACGCGCTCGCGATGGCGCCAGTCACCCCTCCGAATCCGCTGCCGCCGGACGAGAACGTCAACCCGATCCTCCTTGGTGTCTCCGGCGCGCTAATCTTCTTTGTCATCTTCACGACGTCGATCCGCCTCTACGTTCGCTTCGCATTACGGCATCTGGGATGGGATGATTATCTTATGGGAATCGTTGCCAGTCTCGGCGTCATCAGATATGGCGTTCAGTGCGCGCAAGGGAACTCGGGCAATGGGAGGCATCGATGGTACATTTCGACAGAGGAATACGTCAACAACAGCATGCTTGGATGGTTCGCGCAAATCCTTCTATTCGCCAGTATCTGCTTGCTCAAGTGCTCCATCATGCTACTGCTGCTCCGCATCAAAGACTCCAGCCGGCTCAAGTACTTTTTGTGGTCCGTCATGGCTGGTCTGGTTATCACCAACTTTGGCGTCATCATCATCCTGCTCGCCGAGTGCGATCCCGTCGACGCTTACTGGACAGGAAACGGAGTGTGCTGGGACGCCAAGATTCGGATATACTCGATTTACTTGACTATCTGTAAGTCAGGCGCAGGGACGTGGCATCTTTGTGGCTTGCGACTGACATATTTACCCATTAGCATACTCCGTTGCGACAGACTTGTTATGCTCCTTGTTGCCTCTCGTTGTAGTCTGGCAAGTACGCATACCACTGTCGACCAAACTCTCGGTCGGCGCATTAATGAGTCTCGGTTTGATGTGAGCAACCTCTGAACCCCCAAACCGAACTACCTAGTAAACTGACATTACCTGACAGCGCCACTGGCTTCGGTATTGCAAGAGCAGCCTCTCTTGGCCTGGTGACTAACGACTTGAGTTGTAAGGACATCTCTTGGTCGGGCGTCCAAAAGGATTCAGCTAACAACATCCTTAGACGTATACGCAGTAACCGCAATTTGGTCCAACTTGGAGCTTTACCTCGGAATCATTGCTGGAAACCTGGCACTCTCCAGATCCCTCTGGTTCTACTTCTTTGGAGAAAAACAGCTCCCCAGTTCCCATCCCTCAGCATACGGAAATTCGTCACATCGCTCTCGATCTGCGTACAACAACGGCAGCAGATTACACGGCGACAACGGCGGTACCACCGACATTTTTATACGCTCGGAGCGCAGGCCCTCCTTATCAAAGAGCGACCACAGCGACATCCCGCTAGAACCAGGTATCCAGAAGCGAACAGAATTCTGGATCTCGGAAGAGGACGTCGACAGCAATGACAGTCACGATGCGGCGGCGACAAGAAGGACGACAAGACAGGCGTCGTTATGAATGACAGTGAACAGCAAGCACACGCAGCCTCAGATAGGCTTACTTACGCATTTACGGTGTTGGTGGAGAATGGGGAGCCTCTTGAAAGCGTCGTCAGATACCCGGCAGGGAAGACCAAAATGGGCGCGTGAAGTCGTATCATGCACACGATTCATGAAGCTACCGCTCAGCTTCCCTGCCCTGCGATTGTTCCTTTTCACGCGTATTGTTTGCAAAGTGGCTTATACATAGTATGATGGGATATGAAATGATGAAGATTTCACACGCCAAACAGCAGTGGCGCGCAATCCTCTTTGCCTTCTTCTGTTGAGCTCCAAATGTGATGTTAGACCAGATGATGAGAAGACTCGGACCCGAAATCTTGGCTACGAAACTTTGGCTGGATTATTGTTACCTACAGTCAAGGCGTACATGCATATGGAATATCCACAATGCGGCGCAGGACGACTTGCGTAATTTCAAAGTTCCAACATCCCAGTCTCTTTTTATCGGGGCCAGTGGGTTCGTCGACGGCTTTTTCTTCAGCTTCCACTTGTAGATGCAGGCGAAGCGCCCATGGCCTGCAGCGGCTGGTGTTACGGCGCTTCCGGTAGGATCGCTAAGCCTTCACGACGTGCCTAGGGGTTGATGAGCTATCCCGTTTGAAGCCTGTGCAAACCCTCTCAGCAAACATTCTTCTCGGACTGGTAGGCGGTCTTCGCCCTGGAGAAACTCGGGAGCGAGGAAAGAGAATGCCCCCCGCCTCACCGTTCGACAACTTGCAAGGATCCACGGAGCCAGGGCAGGGCTGCAGGGGACAAGGTTCATGTCGGACTTTGCGACAGAGCACGGTCCTCAATTTGACCAAAACCAGTCCCTGGGGATCACTGGTTAAGTACGGTGATCAAGTGATGATGACTGCACTCAGGCGCGTGGGGAGATGAATGGATGGGGGAGGTTCAGGAGTCTTGAGACTCAGAGTTCATCTCAACTTCGACTATGCTCCAGCCTCAAGGCCTTTGCACACCCTCGGCGGGAGTGGCCATTTTCCAACGATGTGTAAGTGATTACCTTTCGTCCCGCATCCTTACATTGTGGTTGCACTGATGTGGCCTTGAACATGAACCCAAAGTCTAATCGACGGATAGTCAAGGCACGCGGAACCTTCAGCGTTGTTTGTGCGTAGCGATGCACGGAGTACGGAAGAGTCTCGGATGGTTTTCTTACTCCAGTCACAAATGTGAGAAATGAGAGCGTCTACCGACATGAAGCTAGGGTGGGTTCACAACGCGTTCATATCGCGAGTCTCCGACGTGTCCGGCTACCGGTGCAACCCCCCAAGTTTACAGGGTTGCAGTTGTAAATCTCTGCTCGATCAGGAGTTGGACCCTGACGCTGAGCAGCTATTTGCGACGTGTAAAGTCAACTTCTAGACGCAAAGCAAGCTGGCCCCAAAGTAACGTTTGAAATTGGGGTGGTTCACAACATTTGACATCGGTCTCTCGGACGATAGCATGATAGAAGCTGTCGAGAATCATTCGCTGGGCACTTCACAGAACCGATACCGAGAAAAGTGCCTCACCGGTATCCTCTTCAACGTCTGAAGTCCGGAGGTCGACATGAAATCCAATAAACACTACACACTTTATTGAGCCTGTGGTTGGTGGACAAGTATGTTCATTCACCTAGGATTGTCTGCCCATGGGATGCCCACCTCAGTCAGGTGTGCAAAGTAGATGTTTCAATCGTCCAGCTGATTGACAATCAACTCACTAACGATTTCTACCCCTCGATTTACGCAACTCTACCTAAATCTCGTTGAGGAGAGATTGTCAGGTGCAAAAAACTGCCAGGGTCTCAGTCGATAGCGATAATTGCCAAAAGCAAAAACGTGCGTCGAGGGGGAATCGAACCCCCGGCTCCCCGACGCTGCTGTATGGCAACGGAGAATTTTACCACTAAACCATCGACGCAAGTGACTCGGAAGTAGGTATTTCCGGCTTCCGATGTTTACGCCAGCGAGTTGCGACTTTATTAATGTATCCAATGTAAAATAGTAGTAGAAGAACCCACATTCGAGAACCATATTGTGAAGTTGTATAAGAACAGCCCAGAACAAAAGTTCGTGATAATGAAGCTTGAACGCTGATGAAATCTTGTTGCTATCATCTCTATGTGTTGAATGATTTGAACGTGTTTCACAGCTTCACCTCACCTGCTACGTGTTCCTGAGTTTCATTCGGCTACTTACGATGAAAGCCTATGGCTCTCGTGGTCTGATTGGCTTGGTAGAAGTTATCCAAAATTCTAGCGCCGTGCTCTCGTTCAGCAGGCCTCATAGCTCATAGCTTTAAGGCCAGAAACCATGAAGATCATTCAATGATATCATCAGACTCATCCATTGGCGCACCGCTCGCTTATCATCGCCCTCTCGTCTCTCGTAGGGCCGTCTTGCTGACGCGCTAGAGAAGCGATGATCTCTAAGGAATGCCCCGCGCTTTACCTCATTAGGCTATTGAAGTGGCCAAGACATGCACTGCGCCCCTGGTCAGGCACTGCTCGCCGTCGCCGGTTAGCCGTACCTAGTTGACCTCCTAGGTGACTGCAGCTCAACTCCGCACCACATGTATTAAACTCGACCCGAGCCAGCGGGTGGCAGGATGGATGTGCCATCCCGTCACTCCGTCTACTTCCAATAGCCCAAAACGTAAAGCCGTTTGATGAGCCGTTGAGATAGGGTGTTTCCCTTAATCAGACGATGACTGCCACTTCTAGACAATTGGCGCTCGCAGTAGGTGGACCGCCGCAAACAGAGGCACAAGCACATTCACAGACAGGACCCAGTAATCGGAGAAGGCAATGCTGGGAATGTCAACGGCGCCGACTAGTCTGCGACTCGGCACGTCCCGTCTGCGCAAAGTGCAAGACTAGCGGCGTCGTGTGTCCCGGTTACGAGGACAAGAAGCCGTTGGTATGGCTTGCCCCTGGCAAGGTCAAGACCCGGACGTGGAAACGGAAAAGCCCGCCTACCAACAAGACTAAAGACGACAATTCATCGAAAGGTGACAACAAAGAGCAGAGCGGGTCAGAACTTGCAAAGGCAGTAAGATCCGAGGTATCAGGTACTCGTACCGACCACCTTATGCACCTTTTTCCGGGTTACGAATTGAGAGATGAAACTTGTGATGTTATTGAGGCTACACTTTACTGTAAGTTACCATATTCCGTTACTATATCGGAGCTTTGTCTTGTTCAGGCACCCAAGAAACTGATGTAGTCTCGATCTGCAACAGGGAACGAA